ATATATACATATACATATATATATATATATACATATATATATACATATACATATACATATACATATACATATATATATACATACATATATATACACACACACACACACACATATATATATAGTACAATCTGCAGACATGCATGTTTCGGTGTTCAACGCCTTGTCAGTGCAGCTTGGTACACGTGTAGATACATGAGACACTCGTATTTATTTGCCCCATGAACTTGCTCTCACCAAGGCATGTGGTACAACACGGTGACTCAATGCATCCCGACATGCGCAGAGCGTAATGGGGCCAAAGTGCTCAAACGACCACAAGGGAAGTGAGCTTTGCATTATCGCTAATAGTCACCCATTAACAACTCCGCTGAGTGCTCAACAACACCAAAGTGAAGGAGCGTAATATATATATATATATATATATATATATATATTTGAACTACTGTATATTAAGACCTCACACTAACCTTAACAACCTCATGGTCAGAATAATATACACTTACAACATTTGCTTCTATTGTGTTGCATATTGACTGTTTTACATAAACATGATCTAGAAGACTTCCGGAAGAAATAAATGTTGGTTTATTTACAAGTTGCACATAGTTTAAAGACTCAGCAAGTTCTTTCAATGAAGAATTATTGTTATCATTAAAATAATCAATATTAAAATCACCAAATGTAATATCGATATCACAGCTTCTTATTATGTAATCTAGGCCAGCTATGAACTGCTGAATGTTACCTCCATGCTTACGATAAAGTAATAAGCAGGATAAAGATAAATTATTACCTGATATATAAATTACAAATTTTAAACCATTTATTGAACTGAAATATTCTGTTTCATTAAGTGTAACAGTTTCTTTGTAGCAGACAGCTAAACTTAAGGACTTATCAGAATGATGATCTTGTCTGTGCAGAGAAAAATCTTTTAGAATCAAGTTCATTTCACAATTTTCAACATTGCTCGAAAGCTGTGTCTCTGTAAGTGCAAGTATGTCACATTTTGACAAGATTGGGTCACTAATTAAGTCCAAACTGTGTTTCTTAAATGATCTGATATTCAAAATACAAATAGAGAAAGTTTCTTTGTTAGATAAGTCTGCAGTTGTTTGTTGTGGTTGGAGATTTGAAATTTCGCGCAATCTTTCGTATTCTTCCTGGACTTTTGGATTTGCTCGAATATGCTTATTTTCAAGAGTTCCTAGAATATGTAGGCCATTTAAAGATGTTGCTCGACTCAGTGCTACATACACTTGACCATTGTTAAAATACCTTTGCTTTTTTAAATCAAAACTAACAACAATATTGTCCAGAGTTAATCCTTGTACTTTATATACCCTTACGAAAATTTCCTATAGGAATTCCTATAGGAATTGAAAATGGTCAAAAAAAATCCTATAGGAATTCCTATAGGAATTGAAATTTCCTATAGGAATTCCTATAGGCATTGAAAATTCCTATAGGAATTCCTATAGGAATTGAAATTTCCTATAGGAATTCCTATTGGCATTGAAAATTCCTATAGGAATTCCTATAGGAATTGAAAATGGTGAAAAAATTCCTATAGGAAAAAATATTCCTGTAGGAATTCCTGTCGAGAATGTTTGCCTCCAAAACAGTAGTCCTCGACAAATCACATTTATATATAAGTTTTAATAGAAAATATAAGAATACCCAAAATCACATTGTATGCTCGTCGCAGCTGTCTCACATCCGTTCTCTCTCACTGTCACGATGACACTCACTGATACCTACTATGACTAATCTCTCTAATTAACTATCCCTCCCTAAAGTGTTATACGATATATCTTATCTGTTTGGTCAGTTCCCAACACACTCCCCCATATAGCTCAATCAAGAGTTATATGTCCTTTGGGACTGATTTCGTTGTAGTTCCATCCATGTTCTTTGTAGTGACTACCTATAACAAAACTAAATTATTTTAACGTTTGCTTTGGTGTCAAAACTCATTCTCATCATCTGCTACTGTGGTCTGTATTCGCAGTCTTGCTGCAACTGCTGCGTCTCTGGTGGCTCTAGGTTGGAAAGAGGGTGCTGTTGGGTTGGGTTTTCGGAAATTAGTTTCGTCGCAGGTCAACTCGAGGGGGTACAAATGCTGCACTGCACGCTCCAACTCTCCATTGACTGTTCGTAACTTGGCTCCCCGCACGACACCATCTTTACCTTTAATCAGCGCCGAGACTACCCTGAGTTTCCATGTGTTCCGATTTTTGTTTTCGCCCTGCACAATAACCGCCGATCCTTTTCTTGGGCATGTCGCTTGTTTCCCCGCTGCGTTAACATGACGTTCGCGTAAACTTTGTACATACTCTCGAGACCATCTTCTCCACATCGCTCGTTTGCACCCTTTTAGAATTTTCGACCGCTTTCGAAGGTCTTCCTCATCCAGATGTCTTGCCTTTAACTCGGGTAACCGACTCGGGTTAATATTTAACATCGTGGCTGGCGTTAGAACTGAAAGTTCGATGTCGTCTTCGAGGTAACTCAACGGTCGATCATTGAGTGCAACTTCTACGTCTAAGACAACGTCCTCTAGTTCTTTGAACGTGAGAATACCATTACCAATCAACTTGTGGAATGCACGTTTGAACAACCCAATGAGTCGTTCGTATTGCCCTCCCCACCAGGGGGGGCTCGACTTAGGTTAAATTTCCATTCGATTGTGCGATCTGTGAGGAAGGAATTAAACTGTTCGTCACGTTGAACTCGCTTCAGCCATTTCTCTGCTGCCTTAAACGTTGCACCGTTATCCGAGTATATCAGCCTTGGTCTTCCGCGCCGTGCAATGAATCGCTTGAGACTGGATAGGAAATCGTTCAGTTCAAGTGATTGTAGTACTTCCAAATGAACAGCCCTCGTAAGACTACATCCGTACAGAACCAAATACGCTTTCTTTGAGGTTTTTCCTTTTGTCCGATACCGGATCGGACCCGCGAAATCGACACCGAGAACTTCGAAGGCAGTAGTTCCTTGCGTACGAGTGGTAGGCAGGTTTCCGGGGGGTGGGTTCTCGTATGATTGCACTCGAAACCGTTTGCAACCCCAACAATCGCTCCGCACACGTTTAACAAGC